AGACAGAGTCTCTCTCTGTCACCAAGGTTGGACTGCAGTGGCGTGATCTTGGCTCACTGCAACCTCTGCCTCCCGGTTGAAATGATTCTTCTGCCTCGGGCTCCTGAGTAGCTGGGATTACAGGCACCTGCCGCCATGCCCAGTTAATTTTCTTGTATTTTTAGTAGAGACAGGGTTTCACCATGTTGGCCAGGCTGGTCTCAAACTCCTGACCTCATGACTCGCCCACCTCGGCCTCCCAAAGTGCCAAGATTACAGGCATGAACCACCGCGCCCGGCCGACTTTTTAGGCTGAAGCAATCCTCCTACCTCACCCTCCCAAGTAGCTGGGACTGCAGGTGTGTACCACCATGCCTGGCTAATTTACTTTTTAGTTTTTTGTAAAGACAGGTTCTTGCCATATTGCCCAGTCTGGTCTTGAACTCCTGGGCTCAAGTGATCCTCCCACCTCATCCTCCCAAAGTGTTGGGATTACAGGCGTGAGCCACCCATACTTGGCAGGTTAAGAGCTTAAAAACGACATTATAAGACTTTGCAAGAGGCCAGGTGTGGTGGCTCACGCCTATAATCCCAGCACTTTGGGAGGCCCCCAAGGTCAAGGTGAGAGGATCCCTTGAGCCCAGGAGCTCAAGATCATTCTTGGTAACATAGCGAGACCCGATCTCTCCAAAAAAAAAAAAGAAGAAGAAGAAGAAGAAGAAAAAAGACTTACAAGTCTGTCATGTTACACCATGTTACACGTTTGAAGAGTTGAGAGAACCTATTGTCCTGTTTGTACGACAACTTCGAAATATCTACCAGGACCCACAAATTACATCAGTATTCAGTAAGTACATTTCAACTATCAAGTGTGTAAACCAATTGGACATTGACCCGAAAACAAAGAAGAGTAAACGATTTTAACAGGAAAATACTAAACCTATAAATGAATTTCATCCTTGTTTGTTATCTTCGAGGATTTAAGGAAAAATGATTTTTCTACATAAACGTAATGCTCTCAATATTAATTACAACTCAGCTAAGAAACGATGTTTTTCCCACATCCTCCTAGACCTCAGAAACTCCATTGACATCAGGCAACATGAGAAACACTCAATACATATGAACTCAGTTTAAAAAATGAGTCTCAGAACTTTGGATTTCTCAATTTTCTCATCTGAAAAAACAGAGGTGGAAATCTCCACTTTAGGTTTTTTGTTTTTAAGTTTTCAAATTTTGTATAGAATATTAAATAAAAAGGGCTTGGCACATGCCTGGAAAATAATAAATGATATTTATATTTCTTGGTGCCTTAAAAGTCTGGGGGTTGAGGGAGGAACAGAGTCCTAGCATCCCCAAATGTGCATGTACACCTCCAAAATTGGTGCAGGTACAACTTAAAGCCCCCAAACTTTACAAGCCCTAACAACCTCAAAGACTTAATCCCACTCCTCCTGGAGCATGATGGAGCCAGGCAAGCAATGGGTCAGAGTCATGGTCCACGGATCATTTAACAAAATCTAGAGACATTTTTTTGCTAACACATATCCGGGAGGGGAGGTGCTACTGGTGTTGATGGTGTTGTGATACCTCAGTTCTTGTCTTCTTAGTTTAAAAAAACTTAAACAAGAGTCACCCAGCAAGAGATGGAGCACAGAGTAATTTATTGTAAAGCAAAAATAATATACATATATATATATATATAT